TTCGTCTTCACTGACTGTTTTGTTTGAAGCGTGCATTTGAACCAATTCAGAAAACCGCAGCAGATCAAGAGCCTTTCTTTTTAAATTTCAGTGAATGGTCTTCTCTCTTCCGCTTCTTTTTTGCTATTGATGTCCCTCTTTAATGTTCAGTGGAAGTAGTGTGGATGTGCAGGAGACATCAGGTGTTAAAAAGACAGTAATTAGATGAAAATTGCCCAAAAAATGCAACATGGGCTGCTTTTAAAGAGCTGTGATGGTTTAGGGGTGGGAGGCTGAGAGAGCAGCATATGCTGGGCGTTAGATAAGAGGTGGAGTTACTTTATAACTGTATCCCTCCCAGTTCTGCCACAGCTCCATTTCAAAAGTTATATCCAAATTGAGCTGGTTGAATTCATGAATTATGTGAACATGTAATATTTTATGTTTCCACTGATGCATATAAAGAATGGGGATGCTAATGGATAGCTTTCTCTAGGTATAATATAACTCCTTGGTGCCAACCCCAAACCAAAAATGAGACATTGTCTTCGAAAAGCATTTGACATATAGAGAAAAAAACTTGACATTTGTGCTTTTCCTAAAAGCAGTATAAGCCAATGTGCTAATGGTTTCTACAATCTTCTTAGGCTTACATTGCTTTTGGGAAACATAGCCCTGTTTGGGGAATCTGGCACCTATTGTGCTTACTATAGTATAACGTCTCAGGTTACTTATGTAACCATGGTTCCCTGAGTAGGGAACGAGACACTGCGTCCTCTAGGTTTCTTGCCATGCTGCGGACGCAAGCTTCAGACGAAGAAGTGAATGACATGTTCTCCCAGCGCCTATTTATACTAATAGTCGCACCGGTAGTGACGTCATGGGCTGTCGCCGGCCGACGTGTTGTTGGTGTTTTTGCAATGTATGCTTCAGACACGGGTCACGACGAGGCGTTCCCCATAGCGCCCCCTAGAGGACGCAGTGTCTCGTTCCCTACTCAGGGAACCATGGTTACATAAGTAACCTGAGACGTTTTTATCAGCTGTTTGGACTCTCATTCTGACTCTCATTCCATTGCTGAGCAAGTGATGCAATGCTACATTTCTCCAAATCTGATGAAGAAACAAACTTATCTACATCTTGGATGAACTGAGGGAGAGCCCGTTTTCATTTTTGGCTAAACAACTATAGCTTTAAGTTAGCCCATTAAGCACTTTAATTTCATGAGGACTGTAATAAAGCTCTTTCGTTACGGGTATTTGAGCTGGTTTGGGTTAAACGCACAGACGTTATCAGTGCATCACGACTGAAGACAATCACGTGTAACACACTTTTCACTGATGTGCAAATCACTGCCTGCTATTCGAACCAAGAACAATACATGCCAGATTTAGACGGCACAATTAAATTGGCATGTCAAGCTCGTAATCAGCCCGTGTTAGTCTATTCACGCTGTCTCACAATTGCAGATCCCAACGCTTCTGCGTGAATCACAAATCACGTCATTAACCAGCACCTGCTGAACTCTTCATTTCAAAAATACAATTTGATTAAGCTGTAATGAAATAAACTAGTTCTATTAAAGGGTTCAACAGTTACAGCGTACATGAGGACGTCATCTGTGTGCATCTGGTGTCTGATCAAACTGATTTGTGTCATTTGATCGAACAGGATGAATGTTTTAGAGTGACACAAACACCCACGAATTCATCAGATTCACTGATAATACACTGTAAATAAATAAACAAAATGTCATATTTGCTGATGACCATGCTGCTGTTTTCCCTCCAGAATGATGTCACTTCCTGGATGATAATGAAGATGATGATGATGTCATTGAGGAACTGGCTTTTGATATTTAAAGTTTTTTTTTTCAGACTAAAAGGATGAAAAGCGATTTTCAAAACACTGGAAAAAACTATTATTGCATCATCAACTAAAATTAATATTCACAAGCAAACATGTTTTGCTTAAACATTTTGATATTGATAATACTTTGATAGAAAATAAAATAAAGAAAAATTAAAAATAAATAAAGACAAAAATAAAATTAATTAATTAAAAATAAATAAATAAATGAAAACAAACATAAACAGGGATAGAAAAACTTAACAAAAAATGTTTTGTTTGAAACATTTGAATTCTGATTACAGTCAGATATTTTAATAGAAAATAAAACAAACAAACAAATATGGATAAAAAAATAATTGATCACCAATTAAAACAATATTCACAAGAAAACTTGTTTTGTTTGAAGCATCTTGATATTGATAACATTTTGATATTTTAATAGAAAATAAATAAATAAATAAAAACAAAAATAAACATGGGTGGATGAGTAAAAATAAATAAATAAATAAATAAATAAACTGAAACAAAATGGGAAGACTACTTAAACTACATATTTTGATAAAAAATAAAATAAATAAAAATGAAAAGAAAGAAAGAAATAAAATAAACATGGATGTATGGATAAACAAAAGCCAAAACATAAAACAAACAAACAAATAAAACGGTAAGACTTCTTAATAAACTGGATATTTTGATAGAAAATAAAATAAATAAAATAAAAAATGAAAATAAAAATAAATAAATACATAACAACTAAACATGGATAGATAAATAAATAAAACAAAAATCTAAAACATAAAACAAAACATGAAACAAAACCAAATTTGAAGACTCCTTAATAAACTGGATATTTTGATAGAAAACAAATAAATAAATAAAAACAAAAAAGGATGGATGGGTAAATAAAACCAAACAAAAATCTAAAACATAAAACAAAACAGATTTGAAGACTTCTTAATAAACTGGATATTTTGATAGAAAATAAATAAATAAATAAAAACAAAAAAGGATGGATGGGTAAATAAAATCAAACAAAACATAAAACAAACAAACTAAATAAATTAAAACAAAACAAAACAAAACGGAATACTTCTTAATAAACTGCTAGCAGGCCTGACCTGACAGTGTTTTGTTAATAAGAGTAAATCAGCTTAGGAACGAGCAGGAGAGTAATCAGCTGAAATACTGAGCGCATTATAAAGGCAGTTTATTCTGAGTTCAGTGCTGTCAGGACTCAGCTGCGAGTTTCTGCTCAGAAAGCCAATAAGCAGCAGAAACAAGAGGCGCAGTTTGATTTTCTTACCTTTGAGATGCTGTAGGAGCAGGAGAAGCCCGACTCGAAGTCGAGTGTGAAGCACAGGATCTTCCCTTGACTGCTGCACATGTAGCTCTTCGACTGCAGAGGAAGAACAGCAGCGTGATTTACACAGAGAGCTCACAGGCCCATTGTTTGCTGTAAACACTTAAAACAACAGACCACATTCATATTTAAATCGCTGAACATTCAACACTCCTGATCTCGCATGCTTTATATTCCCGGGAACAGGACAGGTACGGCGCGGTCGCCATGGAAACAGCTTACACAGAGAAACTATGACTAACAATCCACTTTCTGAAGAAAATCGATATCCAGTCCAGTAAACCTCCAGTACCATAGTAGAACCATCTGATACCACAGTATACTACCACAGTATTTATGCATGCATCTCTCTACGTTATATTTGTATGTATCGTATGCATGGTTTTATTTATTTATTTTTACTCATTTCTCAAATAAATAGAATAAAAAAACATGGATTGGTAGATGGATAAAATAAAATAAAATAAAATGGGAAGATTTCTTAATAAACTGACAGCACTGCATAGCAGGAATGAATGAATGAATGAATGCATGAATCAAACAAACAAACATGGATGATGGATGAATAACAAATTAAAATAAAATAAAATGGGAAGATTTCTCAATAGACTGGCTGTACTGCATAGCAAGAATTGAATAAATAAGTAAACAAACAAACAAACATGGATGGACAGATGGATAAAATAAAATATAAAATAAAACAGGAAGATTTCTTAATAAACTGCCAGTTACTATGATACTATGGTTCTACCACAGTATTTATACATTCATCTATTTATGTCATATTTGTATGTGTGCATGTTTTTATTATTTCTTAATTTTTATTTTTTACTTTATTTTTATTAATTTATCTAAAAAGGCATAGCCTGCAGATGCATTTTGAGTTTTTAATGTAAACATTTAATCAATTGGCCACACTTTATTTTAAGGTCCCGCTTTTGCTATTAACTATGACTTTTGCCTTCTAATTTGCTGTTTATTAATAGTAAGATAGTTGTTAGTTTAGGTATAGAGCCTGATTTAAGGATCTAAAATATGCTCATGTAGAATAAGGCATTAATATGTGCTTTATAAGTAGTGCTGGGCGGTATGACCAAAAATTGATATCACGGTATTTTTCAAAATTATGCCGGTCATCACAATATGGTAAGGGGCGTAACATTACCGTCACACGCTTGCGGTATTCGGCCAATCACAACGCACTGGATAGCTGGCCAATCAGAGCACACCTCGCTTTTCAGACCGATGAGCTTTGTAAAAATCGACACGTTTCAGAAAGACATGGCTTAGAGGAGAAACAATAATGTACAGTATGTGGAAAATAATGTGTTTTTTGAACCTTAAACCGCATAAACACATTTCATTACACCAAATACACAACATAATTTTCTTTTTAGCATCATCATATGACCTCTTTAAGTTTAGGTATGTGATAGGATTAAGGGATTTAAAATATGCTCATGTAGAATAAGGCATTAATATGTGCTTTATAAGTACTAATAAACAGCCAATAAGTTAGTAATATGCATGCTAATAAGTTAATAGTGAATAGTCTTCCCTAATCTGAAGTTTTACCGTTTAGTCTTTACACAAAGTTAGCACAAGGCTTCAGAAGACTTTCAGTAAAGCACACACACTATGATTTTAATTTTATTTTTGCTAATCATCCTTCATTTTCACTGAATGGAAAGAGCAGCCTGAACATTTTGTTAAACATCTTGTGTTCCACAGAAAAAAGAAACAATATGGGTTTCAAGGGACATAAGGCTGCAAACAGTCTAAGATGAGAATATTTTTGTTTTTGGGTGAACTACCATGATTTCACATTCATAAGCACCATCCAGGAGCACAGGTTGAAATCCACTCCCTCTTAAAGGAAACACAACAGTTTCCAGAGAAGAGATTCTTTTAAAGTTTATATGCAAAACCATTAAATAGGCTTACTCGTACTCTACTTGAATCATGGAGAAGGAATGAATGGAAAGATTACATTTTAGGGTGAAATTTCCAACATGGCTGCCAAATGGAGAATATGCACAGATTGCACTCCAGTTTGTTCCATCAGCTCACTCGGCCTTCCCCATAAAAACATCTGTGAAACGTACAGTTATCTGGATCGGCTTAACTAGCTTTCCATCTCCAGCTTTCGAGGCCTGTGACCTCACCAACATGGACATAAACCCACTAGTTCTAAAGAATACTTTTAGAATCATCACTTGAAACTCAGGCTGTCACTAACATTATTTTGGTAATCGAGTAATCGGTAGAAAAACAGAGCTTAGCGAACGTTGAAATTACTTAAATATTTAACAGCATTGAGGCAATAATAATTGGTTCAAATAAAATATCAAAAGCAAGTAGTCATATGGTTTTATTGAACAAAACAGTTAAAATACATAATGTAATAAAACAATATAATCATAACTTGTGTACATTATGTATAATATCAAATGCCTGCAGAGGCGCCAATGGCCTGACGATTGTAATAATATTTAATTCAAATGTCCACTTAATCTTTAACATTTGACCACTTCTTTATGACAGAAATGCTACAGCCGCTGTAATTTCTTGAATATGTGGACATCAGAACATGCAAACCCAGAGCGAGGGTTAAATTTTTATTTTGAAGTCGTGACGAACAGTTAGCATATTTAGAAAGATGATGATGTTTTCTCCTGTGTTGGTGTAGCTTTATAAATGATTTACCTTATAAATCTGACAGAATGGTGCACATGTTCTCAGATGAACGTTATACTCAGACTCACAGCATGCAGAGATGGAGTTTGAGACGCTCCGACCGCGGATGTAAATTATAACTGTTTGGGCGGAGCAGCATTTACTGTGAACGGAGCCGTGACAGAAATAAAGCACAGGTTAAACCTGCAGCGCATATATTTATTTAATTGAATCACAGCCTTTGTGAATTAACAACAGCAATATGATTTATTATGATTTGTAAATGGTTTTAATATTTCGAGCAGCCTTAGAAAATGGTCAAATAATGCTTTTCATGGATTCTTGTCCGTAGAATGCGCCACTTCCGGTATTTTGCCAGTTAACTGCCACAGGCAAAACGCAATCGAGGATTTTTTAAATAATTGCATACTCGAATCGTGACAGCCCTGCTTGAAACCAATCCATAATTGAACCATAATTGAAGTTTTCATACAAAATTCCAACTCAACATGAAACTAAAGAGCTACAGTAGTTCTCAACAGGACTATTATGATTCTCAGCAGGACAAAATGGCCACTAGGAATTTAGAGAAAATGTAAAATGTTGGTTTCCTTTAACTATCCAGTAACAAATACATTAATTAATACAATACAAGATATTAAACATTAACCAATAGGACTCAAAAACTTGCTCAAATTTGGGAAACGGGACATAGGACCTTCACTTGATCCTGATTCTCTGCTCAAAAAATACAACAGAAAGGTTTGTTTGGATATTTTATACATTATTTTGGATGTATAGACATCCAAAGCAGAGCAACAGATTTGTTTTAATAGGCCCAGCATCTGAAGATGTACTCTTTAAAGGAGTGATTATAAGAAATACACTTCATTATTTTGTAGATTGCAAAATTTGACACGGGTGATATCAGTGTTTATGAGATTGTGAAGAGAAATAATGGTCCATGGTGATACTACATTCTTACATTTGCCATCTTACATGTGAATCCTGGTAACACACACACACAAAATAATGGTGTACTGTACAATATTTCAAAAGTTCAGTAGCTCTACAGATGAATATGTGCAAGCACCAAAATGTGAGTAAATACTACAATAAAACAAATGACAACAACAAAAAATTTATGCAACAAGAAAATTGGTGACACTTTCCTAGAGTTAGGCCACCTAAACATGCATTTCAAGGGGGAAAAACATGATGGGTGTAAATATTTTGTGAGAGATGCCATTTCACTGAGAAAATTACTTTAAAATGATGTTATAAGCAAGACAATAACTTGTGCTGTTAGCCGCAAATGTACTGTGAAATATTACTACAATTTAAAAGAACTGTTTTCAATGAGAAAATATGTTAAAATGTAATTTATTGCTGTGATCAAAGCTGAATTTTCAGCATCATTACTAAGGGTCTCTGCAGGATTTTTAAGCTCAAATTTAAGACTTTTAAGACCTTTTTTGAGACCTGCACAAATACAATTAATACCATATGAGCGGAGTAGGGCAATGTCTATGGTAACATATTAAACTGTAAAAAGCATGATTTACAGCAGGGATGCACCGATACCACTTTTTTCAGAACGAGTCCGATACCGATACTTTCATTTTTGGTACTCGCCGATACAGATACCTGTATTTTCACAGCATTTGTAATTTTTTAAAAATAGGGTACAGAAACAAACAAAAAAATAAAATAAATAAATAATAATAATAATAATATGAATCATGTTAGTCACAAAACGTTTCCCTAAAATAATGCAGGGAACCACTCGTTATACATTATACGAGTGCACGTGTACTATTTTGTTGATGTAATTTGCGTCATGCGCAGTGTACACGGACCCTCACGTACTAGTAAAAACCGAAGTATACTTTGGCCTTAAAGCAAGCTAAACATACGCAGCGCGCACACGTTTGTATTGGTGCAGAGTGAGAAAGACACTTACAGCCTAGCGCGTTTCACCCAGTCTGCTAGTTTCACTTCTGCTTTAAAGAAAGTTGTGTATGCTTGACATTTAAAATAAATGTTGTTTATAGTGAATGCCCCTATCATTTTTGTTTGTTTTATATTTACGATTTAGTTTTAATCTAAATGCATGAGCTAATGGAGCGAACAGCAATAAAGATAATGCAACAGAAGTGTGCGCTCTCAGACTCTCTCTCGCTCTCCTTACCGTCAAATAACTTTAGTAACTTGTGCACTGTTTTGCTTGCTTGCTTTTGACATATCTGACAGAACTTCAAACTTTCCAGTGATGTCTGTGAGATATTCACTCGACAAGCTCGCGCATCTGTGCAGCCGCGCGCTCAATCCACTAGCTCGCGCACATCAGCTATACAAG